ACTGGCCCTGTTGCTTCTTTGTGCCACAGTGGACAAGTGTCCCTTCACATGTGCTCTGGACCCGCATCCTCCAACCTCCTCCGGTTCGTCGCTCCCTGATAATCTTGCCTTTTTCCTCCATCTTCTCTCTCTGCTGATCGTCCTCATCAGGATACCGACATCCACTGTTCTCTTGATGTTCATCTCCTTGCAGCCCGTCTTCCCTTCAATACTGTTCCCGTAGAACTAGTGACCTATTATTACACTGCAGGGGGAAATCCTAGGAATCATCCTCGATTCTTCATCTTCCTGTGTCTAGTCCATTTTCAAGATTTGCTGGTCCTTTCTCCAAAGTGCGTATCTACGTGCACCATCTTTGCTATCACCCTGGTCCGCATGACAACATTTTCTCCTGAATTAACTACCCAAATAGTTTCCTGATCGATCTTTCCTTCTTGCTTCCCTAAAATTCAGTCTCCATACCGTGAGCTTTATAAAACATAAGTCACTAATGGTCGTTCCCACTCGAAAGACTTCAACAGCTTCCCCAGCCACTTGGAATATCAAAATCCGGATTCCTTCCCATGGCCTGTGGGCTGGCCCCTGCCTCATATTAGGTCACTCACATTTCCTTTTGCTTCCTTAGGAAAGTGAAATCCCTTCCTGTCCAAAAGCCTTATTCCATTCTCTCTGCCTAGAATGCTCTTCTCCTTTGCATCTTCAAATTCTTTTACTCCTTTGCAATCTTTAGCTCTGCTTAAGAGGCCTTCCCCAACAACCTAATGTCCATGGTCTTCCTGTTTTTCTCTTATCTGCACCCTATTCATTTTGGTTTGGCCAAACTCATCCTGATTTGTAATTACACATTTGGGTGTTTACTTGTTTACTTTCTGTCTCTTTCGTTAGCTTTACAACCCACAAGGGCTATGATTATGTTTCCAGTGACAGCAGAGTGCTTGATACAGAGAAAGAACTCTGCCTGAAATAATGAACCAACAGGGAAGAGAGGCTGTGCCTGGCGGTTCACAGAGTGGTGACCAGCTGCTCCCCTGACGGAATCCTCTGCTTTTCTTTATCTAAGCTGATTTAGCATAAAAGTAGTTTTTCACAGGCACCTGGGTAGCTCAGTCGGTTGAGCGTCCAACTCTTGATTCTGGCTCAGGTCATGATCTCACAGTTTGAATAAGCCCCATGTAAGGCTCTGTCCTGGAGGCACGGAGCCTGCTTGGGATTCCCCTTTTCATCCCCTCTCTCTGCCCCTCCCCTGCTTGCATTCTCTCTCTCTGAAAAACAAGTAAACATTAAAAAAAAAAAAGGTATTTCACATTTGCAGCATCCAGCAGCTTTGTGAATTCCAGTTGTTGTTTTAAACTCTAGTGGAAAGCCACCCTGTGACCCCCTCCATGTACAGAATATTCTGTGTTTAACATTGCTTAAAAAAAATGTCAAGTACAATAAGCAGTGTAATATGGTGCAGGGAACACAGGCTTGAAAGTCCTGACCTAGCTTTGCTCTTTGGTTCTCATAGTGCTTTTGTTCCTCACAGACTTTGTATCTGTTTCCTCATTTGTAAAACAAGAGGTTTGATTAGAAGAGAGAAGGGTCCCTTCTAGTTCATAAGCTTTCAGCTGCAGGTTAACAGTAGCTTCAGCAATCGACATTTAACGACCTCTTGAACTAGAACGTGGAGCCATAACGGTTCTGGGGTTTCTTTCCTTCCGCTTTGCCACCTGCTCTGTCTCCAGACTAGCTCTTGTGGTCACAACATGGTTGCTGCAGCTGTAGGCCTCCCATAAGAGCATCAAGAGCAGAAAGGGATGGGCGTGGGGACGAGCTCTTCTCATGGGTCTCCCTCCTTTTATCCAGAAGCATCTTTCCTGGAAGTACCCTAGCAGACTTCCTTTTGTCTCATTGGCCGAACCACCTCATTTATCCACCCCAGACCATCACCTACAAGATTTGCTTAGCCCAAATACAGTTCATCCTGGCCCAGGACTGGCCCGTATTCGACGGTACTTGATACATACAGTTGAGTCCTGTGAACAACAAAGGTGAAAGGGCAGGACTGTTGATCTCTGAGGCCCTGCCTCATAAATCTAAATTCCTGTGATTCAAGTGCCTGGCTTTTAGGGAGGCTGCCTTGTTATCCTGTAGAGATTCTCTGGTGAAGTAATGGACAGGAATAACATTCTGGTAAGGAATGGCTGTCTATTCCTAAATGAGGAGGAAGGCAGAAAGGATTTAGAAATAGATGGATTTATTGGCCAAGGAAAATTCAGTGAGCAACTGAGCCCAGCAGGTCGTTTGTAGGAAGGGCTCCCCAGTTGATCTGCCCTTCTGGGGAGCAGAAAAGACTTGGGATCACGGCCACTTACTAGTCAGGGTCTCCGTTAACTTCCTCAACAAACGATACCTATTCTCCTCCCTGTCCAAGTGGTAGCATCAGGTATTCCTACGTAGAATCTTCTTTTCAACAGGTTTGGTAACAAATGAGGTATGCGTTCATAATGGCCATATTATTAAGAACCCACTATACATGTCAGACACCGTGCTAGGTCCTGGGATACCAATACAAGGGGACAAGGTCCCAGCCCTTAGGAGGTTGACATTCTACTTGAGGGGGAAACACACGTAATAAACCAGCTCTATGCCAGGCGTGTGTCTGGGGCCAGAGAGTGGGAGTGGCCACCTCAGCCTGAGAGGTGATCAGGAAAGGAGGAGAACCTTGAAATAGGAACAGGTGTTTCATCTGTGTTGTGAGCAGCATGAGCCAGGAGGGAGCCGTTGGCTAGCAACGGCAGGCTCCGGGTAGGTGGGACTGAGGCCTGGAGGGTTCTATGGGCCATGCTGAGAAGTACAGCTTTACATTGCAGGCACATGAAATTGGACACTTTCCATAGACAAGTCTTAAGATAATGTGTATTGAATTATTTCCCAATTTTCTTCACAGAGGTTAAGGATTTTCTTTCATTTCCTCAATACATTACACTGAATACATATGTGGGTCAATTATTAATAGCACCCTTTATAGCTTTGCTATAAAATATGGATGAGTTCATGGCAGAATGTCTACATTGTGTATTATGATTTCTAGCAATTTTAAATAAGATTTTAAAGGTTTAAAATTACTAAGAGTGATTTCATATTTGCTAAGTTATTTCCCAGTTTTCATCCACTTTGCTGCTAGCAGATAGAGGGGCATTGCTAGAAGTGTCGTTCTCTGCAGTTTCCAGAGGTATTCAGGGAGGATTCTTCCCATCGTCTGAGATGAATCTCTTGTGTTTTTGTGGGAGACCAGAATTCTTGCCCAGAGCCACCAAGGAGTGCTGACCCCTGGAGGCTCCAATCCTCACTTTCTCAGCTTTTGTTCAAGTGGCGCCTTATCGACGAAGCCGCCTTGGGCGACTTCTTGAAAACCGCAGTCCCTGCCAGTCCTGATCTTCCTTAATCCACTTTCTTTTCATACTACACCTCTCCTTCTAACACACCACACAATTTACTGACATACGTTTGTTGTTCATTATAATCGGTCTCCCCCGACTAGAATGTAAGCTTTTTAAAAGCAGGGACCTTGTGTGTTCTGTTCACGGACGTAGCTTACCCCCTAGAGCAGCGCCTTATACAAGACTGCCCTCACAGGTCAGTATGTGGGTAATTAGAAAGCACCCTGACCGCTTCCCACTGACCATGTGTGGTCAACAGAGATGAGCTAGTTAAGTCAAGAATGAAAATTTTACTGAGCTTGTAAGAGCTAAATTGTTTCTACTGATTTTGTGGGTCTTCACGCTGAGGGTAAAAGGCCATGGTGCCCTGTGAGGGTGAACCTTGAAGGCTGTTACAGGGAAAGGCCATGGAACAAAAGGAGTGGTGGGGGTATCGGACTCTGGTTAGAGTGCTGTAAGCTGACGGTAACAGATGATGTTCTTTTGAACAGGTATAAGAGTTTGGTCACTGGGCCCCGAGCGAGAGGAGTCATTGCGGTCCTCTGGGTCCTTGCCTTTGGCATTGGACTGACTCCATTCCTGGGGTGGAACAGTAAAGACAGTGCCATCAACAACTGCACGGAGCCCTGGGATGGAACCACAAATGAAAGTTGTTGCCGTGTGAAGTGTCTCTTTGAGAATGTGGTCCCCATGAGCTACATGGTGTATTTCAACTTCTTTGGGTGTGTGCTGCCCCCACTGCTCATTATGCTGGTGATCTACATCAAGATCTTCATTGTGGCCTGCAAGCAGCTTCAGCGCACTGAGCTGATGGACCACTCAAGGACCATCATCCAGCGGGAGATCCACGCAGCCAAGTCCCTGGCCATGATCGTTGGGATTTTTGCTCTGTGCTGGCTGCCAGTACATGCCATCAACTGTGTCACACTCTTCCAGCCAGCTCGGGGTAAGGATAAGCCCAAGTGGGCAATGAACATGGCAATTCTCCTGTCACATGCCAACTCAGTTGTCAATCCCATCGTCTATGCCTATCGGAACCGAGACTTCCGCTATACTTTTCACAAAATCATCTCCAGGTATGTCCTTTGCCAGACAGATGTCCTCAAGAGTGGGAACGGGCAGCCAGGGGTGCAGCCTGCTCTCAGTGTGGGCCTATGACCTAGGTCCTGGCCTCTTCAAGAAGGCACACATTCACAATAAAGGGACAGACAGGACGTGACTGGCTGATTCCCATTGTTAAAACAGCTGCACCTTGTAAGCATATGAGCTGCCTCTTCTAAGTACTTCCCTGGGTTACCCCATACCTAGCTAATATGTACAGGTTCACAGATGTATTTATGGTTCTTTCTGGCTGCTCCCACTGTATGGATGATGCTGATGGCTTGAATGGATTGTAAAAGACTTTTTTTTTTTTAAGAGTCCACCTCTTTCATGGTAGAAAATGAAACTATTTTACTGTGAAACACTGTGAACGATTATAATCCAAATATTTTTTAACTTAGAGGCAATGAAAAAATATAAGTTAGACATACTAAAAATATATACTTATTCCTAGGAAGGTGACCAGGAGATTAAAAGTTTAATTGTTCAGTCAAGAAACTGCTGTATTTATTTGGGGAAATGATACTCTAATAAAATCTGAAGTAGAATATCAGTTTTCATAACATTCTTCTCCACGTACTGCAAAGCCATACTCTAGAGGAAGAAACTGGAGAAATGGGATTCCTTCCTCTACCAGACTGCATCTTCCCTGTCCAGAGTTAGGCAGTGAATTTTAGTTTTCTACCAAGCTGAAGTTTGGCCAAGTTGCTGGAGCCCAAGTGTGAAAATTTTATTAAGTAAAATCCTAGAACTGTGTACGTGTATTATGTGAACTAAAAATAAAATTTAAAAAACAAAACAAGCTCAGGGTGCTGAATCTACCTTCTACTCTTTATTCTGAAGACTGCTTAAAAAGAGAAATTCATACCCAGCCCAAGCTTCCCAAGTAGGAAAGTCCTGACAGCTTTGGTGTGCTGCGCCTCCATGAAACCCATGGCTCTGGCCGCCAGAGAACGCAGCCCCATCTGCGAGCCGGGCACACGGCACTCCCGCACCAGCACCTCGTGTTTCCTGGGCCATACAATCTCTCCCCTGCGTGTGCACTGCTGCAGAACCCACACAAGGACACTGAGGGTCTGTGAGCCCCGCAGACAGCATGCCTGGCCTTCCAGGCTCCCATTCTGGCCGTGAATGGCTCTCCTTAGTAAGTTCTCCTGGACTGAAATGTCCTCGTCTTCACTGCCATTCTGTCCTTGCCCCCTCTCAGGGTCCAGACAAGTCCATCTCCCTCCCTTCCAAACTCTCCTTCTGCTATCTCTTTTGCGTTTTCTTGTTCAGAATGGAAATCCTTAGTGGTTTCCTTCATTTGGCTTCTTATAAAGCTCAGAAACACGCAGAGCAAAACCGGCCCTTTCCTTGCTTCAGATACACCTTTCTCACAATACTGCCTACGTAAGCTTTTCTGGCATCAACACCAAAGGGACCTGAAGCTCAGTGAAACTAGAACTCCCGAGTCCTTTAATAGTTGCTGCTGCTTAGCCACAGCTCTGCTCTGGTCTTTTATTGCTGCACAGTAATTTCCTAGACCCAAAGAAAAGTAACACTTCTTTTTCTTAAGAGTTTCATCTACCACTCCAACCTCTTAAAAACTTACTAAGTGCTTCAGTAACTTAACCTAATTGCAGACAGGGTGTGATATTAAGGTTTGTTTGAGTCTAAAATGCTTGATCCCACCTCTGGCATTTATCCAAGGGCCTCACAGGCTGGTTCAGATTTTCCATGAGAATGGTACCGAGCTTCGAACCGTACACACATCCTGAGTTGCAAATCACAGACTCTTTTCCAGGAGGGAAGAAGGACCGTACCAAGAAGTCTCCAGAAGATTATTTCACCTCTCTTCCATGTGAACCACGTTTTTCTTGGTGGGACTTCTATTTTGAGAAATAATGATGCTCATTCTATACCTTTTATGCTTTTTGTTTCTTCTCCGTGAATAATACATCAGTCAGTTGCCTGTCAGAGACCTTCAGCTGTCGACAGGTCCCCGTCACCTGGCTAAGATAAACTGCCAAGAGATGCTTGCACTGGAATACAAAACGCAGACCGTTAGAAATCGGCAGGGCTGAGCTAACCAAGACCTGTCCCTACATTTAGTAGGAAAGAAGTGGGGCACACAGAGTATGGACTTGCTGCCTAAAAACTGCAGATAAAGGTGACATGGAGTATTCTTTTCTGGAAGCCAGAGGGATGAAGGAAGTTGTACTTTGTTGTTTTGGGAAAGTTTAGGCCCAGCTGGCACAGGGTGTTATCACCCACAGGGAGAAGCAAGACCAGCCCCTTGTCTCTGGTGCTGCCTCTTTCTTCCGGCCTTCAGAAAGCTATGTGCAGCGATGCCCAAGATTCCTTGACCTTCTGTGTTGCACAGTGCTTCCCACAGATTGTCCCACTTAATCTACCAGCTATCCCATGAGGACAGGTCTTGTCTCCATTTTACCCACGTGCCCAGAGTCTACAGTCCCTTAACCACCGTGATGTACTGCAGGGGAGGGTGCGGAGAAGAAAGCTCACAGACGGCAGCCTGTGGGGAAGTGCTGGGCCTTATGGCACAGAACACAGCTTAGATACTGCGGGGACCCCAGTTTAATCCTGTCATTTTACAGGTGAAACAAACTTAGGTCACATCAGCTGTGAATGCAGCCTTTCAACAATTAGATGTCCAACTTCCCACCGCCATTTCCAAGATGTTTACAAAGTTAACAGTGTAAAAGAAAGGAGAAGAATGGAGTGGATACTATAATTTTCCTTGGCAAGACTTATAAAATAGCTACCTGCTCTTAGGTGGGCAGTGCTTTTCTCCTTTGGAAAAGGGAGTGATATGACTATGTCTTGCTCCTGCTTGGTGCTCTGGGCTCCTGTGAAATCAGCAGAAATATCGATGTGCTCTCCTGCCCCATGTGAAAGTCAAACATGGCTAAGTGCCAGGTTGTCTGATGGGTGTAGTGGGAAGAAATACCTCGTAGCTGGAGTTGGGGATAGGCAAAGTCGCCAGCTCGCCAACAGTTACTTTAGTTCATATTTTGTTGGGCTGTCTAATTCCCCAGTGCCAACTTTCTAGATTACCTTGTTGCCTTCCCCAAAGCTTCATCTTTTAAATAAGAAACTGGGAAATTGATATAGATCTAAAAAATGACACTGCATTTTGGGAGGGTAAACCCAAAAGAGAGGACTACCTGAAATCCAGGACAATAAACCATTTGTTTCAACAGGTAGTAAAAATTCCCATTTTGTACAGCTCTTAAAGCACGCTAAAGGCCAAGAATTCCCCTCCTCCTCCCACTGCAGTGGGAAGAGCCTTCCCCTCCTCACCAGCAGGCTGTCGCTCTTCCGCAGCACCGAGAAGGCAAACGCAGGACATGAACAGTAATGACAAGAAGCCAAACATGTGTACGTTTTACCAGAACTTCCAAGTACCTATAAAGAAAAGGTCAGATGGGATCAGACTTCAAAAGGTACACTGGAAAAATGTTTCCTTCCCCTCAATTTATCCACCTGATAACTCAGAGCTGCTCTGCAAACTGTACTGCCAACGAGTGCAGTAACAGGTTACACAAAAGCGGAAACTCTATTTCCCCATGTACAGGTTCTGTCCTTGAGGACTTCATATAATGAAACAAGGCTTTCAGGCTAGTTAAACCATCCACACGAACCATTCTGTTCCTCCGCCTGGTGATTTACAGCGTCCACCCCATGGGCTGCCTAGAAAAGAGGTGGTCGGGAGAGGTCCCCTCAGATACACTTCTGTGATGTTCCTCAGCCTTTGGCACCGCACAACATGTATGTACCTTTCTGAAGCTTCTACCACACACCTAAACAAAGTGTGGAACAAGTAACAGAGCAAGCAGTGAGGCAGAAACACAGGTCTTCAGAAGAAAGTACGAAAGGCCTCTTAAAAACTGTTTGAGAGCAGGAAGAATAAATAAAGTAAAGAATCTTGCAAAAGGGATGACTCAGCTGCTCAGGGTGGAGGTCTTGGAATGAGGCACGCCTGGATCTGCCGATTCACATAGCAGGACGGAAGGAGGATACAGGTATGAGGTGGGGTTGGTAAGAGGCCTAGTCTAAGAACAAATCGCCTTGTTGGCAGGCAAGGGACAAAAAGGAGACGTACAGTAAAATTATGATGTGTCTGTGGTGGACAAACTTGTCAGAGAAATCACTTGTTTAAGCCTCTCTACCACTAGGGAGCCCAAACCAAAAATGTTAAGGGCTTCATTCCTGGAGTTAATTTCCAAACTGGAGGTGTAAAATCAGTATCCAAGGAAGCAGAATACATCCTGAGGGTTATTTTACCATGATATGCCACTTAGGAATTTGCCACATGGCTTTCAAGTTAGTTTTAGGCTCCAAGATGGCAATCTGAATGAAAAGGCCACGGTTAAAAAAAAAAGAAAAGAAAAGAAAAAAAAGCACTCCTAAGATTCTTCCTTCTTTCTCCCCAGCCAAGAATAAAGCAACAGGTAAGGCTTCAGCGGAAATAGCAGTGTTCCGAGTGTTGTGCTCGTTTCTTGAACTGACAGCAGCTAGAAAGCAGGCTGTTTTCCATTTAATCCTGGGGAAGAACCCAATATCCAGCAGTGATGTGAACAATTCTTAGGTCTCCACAAACTATTACCAATGAATAAAACTTTAGATTTCTTCCTTTATCTCCTATAGTTCTTCTCTCTGGATTTAAATTTAAGCAAGCAGAAGCCTCTGGAATTCTACACTGACTTGAATGACTCCCCAGTTCCCTCCTTTTTGGGTGTCCCCAATCCATGAGAATACCCTGATGGCTGAATAGATGCCAGGTGACTTAGGGATGCGAAGAACCTCTCCAAAGGCTACCTTGCCTGACCCTTTCAAAGGCTGGCTAAAACTAAAAGTAACATGTGCAAGTGCCCCAGTAAATACTGTCGTAATAGCAAACTGTGAATTTTCTTCTTTCCTTATCTAGCATCAGATGACTAATAAACCCAATGATCAGGTAAAAATCTGAGTCAGAAATGATTAGAATTGGAAACTAACCTCAGGGATCATCTAATTCAATTGCTTTATTCTTCAATGGAAAAATGACCTCCTCTTACAGGAAATGCCTCCACTTCTCCCACTCATAGTCTGGAATGTGCATCCCCAGAAGGAGACAGCTTTTAGAAAAAAGAAAACACGTGGCAAATAGGATACTGAGACCCACGAGTAGACTCGTATGAACCTTAGAGGAAGTCCGCTGTGCTTCCAGTTGGTTCCAAGGAGTATGACCCACCTAGATGGTCATCCATTCCCAAGTAGGGTTTTATTTTATGATTGCTCCAGGCCTTTTAGGAGCCGTCATAGTGGTCAGCTGTATTATTTATTGTTCCCTATATTTGGTGTCTGTCTCTGAAAGATGATTATACATTCCTGCCCTATTAAATACCCATGGCTACGTGACCTGCTTTAGCCAGTAAAATGTGAGCAGCCAAGCAGAAACATTAAAAATTGGCACATGCCACATCCTCTTTTTTCTCTGCTATGAGATCCACTATATTCCAGAGAAGGGCTGCCACACCAGCAGGGATCCCTGAGTGAAGATGTTTTGGAGCAGAGCTGCAATCAACTGTCAATGGACAGGAGGCATGAATGAGACACAAAACTTTGTTTTTGTGAGCCTCTGAAATTTAACCACAGCATAACTTAGCCTCTCCTGACTAATGCCTCCCCCTCCCTATGTGAGCCAAAAAAGTTTACAGAAAAGCAACTCAGGTGACAACACAGTGGTGACTTTACAATAATTACCACTGTACCTGGAGGACAGTAAGACTATTAGAAGGCTGACCTATGGAAAGATGATTAGCAGGGTATCAGACAATGTCTGACTCAACTTTTATCATGTCAGAGAACCTCTGACTAAAGACAAATTTTGACTATATTAGTATATAAAGAAACCATTAAGGTTAATTTGAGGGTGTATGTATCTTTCTACAGCCTCATTTATTTCAAAGTCCAAGCTGAAAGCTACAGTACTAGGAAGTTAACCATTTTTATGATGAATAAAGCAATGGGATATGGTACAGGATGGGAACGAGGGAAGTTAAGCAAGCTGTGGCAACTTTGCGAGAAACAAGAAGCCAACAATAATGAAAATATCTCAAAATCTTTCAGATTTTAAGTAATGACTAGACCACAGAACTAGAAGACTAGAGATGCAGGTCAAATGTTATGCTAATACTGGAATGGAGACAAAAAATCTGAAACTAAATGATGTGGGAAAAACTCAAAGGCCCTTCTTGTTCCGGGTACTTTAGCTACATAGAAACGCCAAATAAACACACTAGGCAGAGAAATGGAAACACCTCATCAGGCACGATATCATTTAATCGCTCGGATCCATTAAGCCTTCTGTCCTCTAGTTCTGTGACCTAGTCATTAGTTAAAATCTAAAAGATTTTGTTTGAGATATTTTATCCGTTAAATTTGTCCTGACAAAATTCTAACAGGTAGCCTCTTTTAAGTAAATATGATCCGAAATTCTAACTGCAGCACTCAACATTAGTCACCCCATTTTCCTTGAATGAAAGAAATGAATGACGAGTTTGCCAGATGGGTTAAGTTACGCTGCCATGTGAAATAGCAGGTTAATTCACTAAGCAAAGGCATCAAGCAGGCTTTGCTCAATTCACTATGAATTAACGGACATGGTCTCAGCTCTGAGAAGTTCATCATAAATAAACTAGAATCCAAACTGAAAAACTCCCTTCTCTTCCTGGTCTTCACCAAGACCTAGATTACATACTAGAGCTGATGGCTTCTTTACTCCTTCCAAGCCAGGTACAAAATGCCAATATTTTTATTTCATTCACAACCTTCCCTTCCCTCAATGTCACTGCACTTACATGGTCTCATACAGCTATACTGGGGGGTGGAGGAGTGGGAATGGAGTGTGGCAACATTTATACATAAAGAGAGGCAGTGGAGGGTAGCAGTTACAAGTCCCAGCTGCCAGGTGTGACTTGTTAATTTACTCTTTCCTGAAAGATAAATACCTTGTTGGGTTTTTGGTGGGAATTATCAACAATACATGGAAATCTAAGTCTTTCAGAGTCTGATAAGAGGCTATTACTTTACAAATCTACCTATCTTAATTTTAAGTAGACTGCCTGCATCCAGTACAGTTTGACCCTTAATAAATACTTCCTGACAACAGTTTTGAAAGATCATTTCTGACAGATCAATTTGAGCAGACAGAAGGACCTCAAAATACATTTTGGCTTTTGCCTGTAGGCGAGAGATAATGAACAAGATGAAAACATCAACCCAGTTTTTGAGGAAAAGTGCCTGTTATCAAACCTGGGAAAGCAGAAGTCGACTATACTCCATTAGACTTGAGTAAACAGCCTCTCCACATCACTGCTAGTTCTGTATGTTGCTCCTGGGCAGGGTTAATAAGTCATGTTTATCTTATCTTAATTACTAGTATACTAATTTTAAATCGGGTCAAACATTCTTCAGTAATCCAGGAAATACGTAAGGCTGGTCATCAGTTTCCACTGGGATTCATGAAAACATTTTGTCCTAAGGGATTTTTTGCTGAGAGAATCCCCACCTCTGGATGTCTACCTGGTAAGCACGCCTCCCACTAGGCGATGAGATTAAGGTGATGGACTGTCGATCAACAAGGTCCAAGGCCTGGATGGCTGATGGGCCAAAGATGAACTTCAGCCTGAGAAACAGAGAGGCTACAGGTTAGACTGCCTGACTCTCATGGTCACCTCAGCAACTTCACCCAAAGGATCACGACTGGCAGTTGTAAAACATTCAATTCCTTTTAATTTGGGGGGGAAAAAAATATAGGAAAAACCTGTGTAATCAACCCCCCAGAATGTTAACATATTTGCAGATAAAACCCTGTTTATACTTCACAGCGCTTCCTGGTTTTTTTTGTATATATATAAACATTTTTACTTATTTTTGAGAGAGAGAGAGAGAGAGAGAGAGAGGGAGAGAGAGAGAGAGAACGAGCTGAGGGGAAGCAGAGAGAGAGGGAGACACAGAATCTGAAGCAGGACCCTGAGCTGTCAGCACAGAGCCTGACACGGGGCTCGAACTCATGAATCATGAGATCATGACCTGGGCCGACTGAGCCACCCAGGTGCCCCCAGTGCTTCCTGTTCTTGTTCCCAACTTCCTTTCATCCCTGAAGCAACTGCATGCATTTGTTGGTTTCCTTCCTAATGTTAACGTTTTTATATTTTATTATACATAGTACACTGAATATGTATACTTTGCACACACGGGCACACACACACACACAGTACTGTCTTGTGTTTTATTATTTTTTTCATTTTTTAAAAATTTTAGGGGCGCCTGGGTGGCTTAGTTGGTTAAGCGTCCGACTTTCGCTTAGGTCATGATCTCGCGGTTCGTGGGTTCGAGCCCCGCGTCGGGCTCTGTGCTGACTGCCAGCTCAGGGCCTGGAGCCCGTTTCAGTCTGTGACTCCCCCTCTCTCTGACCCTCCCCTGCTCACACTGTCTCTCTCTCTCTCTCCTAGAAATAAATAAAACATTAAAAAAAAAATTTTACTTAAATACAGGGGTGCCTGGGTGGCTCAGCTGGTTGAGCGTCTGACTTCAGCTCAGGTCATGATCTTATGGTCTGTGGGTTCAAGCCCCGCATCAGGCTCTGTGCTGACAGCTTGGAGCCTGGAGCCTGCTTTGGATTTTGTGTCTTCTCTCTCTCTGTTCCTACCCTACTTGCACTCTCTCTCTCTTTCAAAAATAAAGATTAAAAAAATTTTTTAAATTTTAATTTAAATCGAGGTTAGTTAACATATGGTGTAATAATGGTTTCAGGATATCTTATAAGTTTTAAAACATAAAAGATACATTGTAGGCTTTTTTGGCAACCTGTTTTTTCCTCTTAATGTGTTTTTTAAAATGATGCATGTTATATATGTGTGTATATATACGTATACATATATGTTTACATACCTATCTATGTATCTATTCATATATCTATTAATATTTTACTTTATTTTAAAGTTTGTTTATTTTGAGAGAAAGAGCATGAGCAAGGTAGGGACAGAGAGTCCCAGGCAGGCTCCATGCTGTCAGTGCAGAGCCCAATGTGGGGTTCAGGCTCATGAACTGTGAGATCATAACCTAAGCTGAAATCAAGAGTTGGATGCTTAACTGACTGAGCCGACTAGGCACCCCAAGGTTTTATTTTTAAGTAATCTCCATACCCAGTGTGGAACGTGAACTCACAACCCTGAGATCAAGAGTTGCATGCTCTGACTAAACCAGCCAGGTGCCCCAACATATATTTTTTAATTTAACACTTGAATAACTGTATGTACATGCATCTTATTTTTTAAATATCTTATTAATAGGCATTCTGATCATTTCTACTTTACATTACAAATAATACTCAATTATCCCCATACACGTCCCTTAGTGCACATATATGAGAATTCTTCCTGGTTATAGAAGTAGAATTGCTGAGCCTTAGGATGTGTGCATTTTTCAACTTTAATGGGTGTTGCCAATAGTTTTCCACAGTGGAAACAGCAGGCCCACCAGCACTGTATAAGAGTTCTATTTTCCCACATCCTAACCAATACCAATACTGTCAAGAGTTTCTCTTTTTTTAAAAAAAAATTATTTATCTTTGAGACAGAGACAGACAGAGTGTGAGCAGGCGAGGAGCAGAGAGAGAGGGAGACAGAACCTAAGCAGGCTCCAGGCTCCGAGGTGTCAGCACAGAGCCCAGCGCGGGGCTTGAACCCACAAATATGAGATCATGATCTGAGCTGAAGGTGGACGCTTAGCCAACCGAGCCAACCATGTGCCCCTTGTCAGTTTTTCATGTTGACCATTTGATGGGTGTTAATTTGTTCTTTTTTTGCATTAGTAATAAAGGCTATCTACCTATTAAATGATACATCAGAAAAAAATTTGGTATGTGGGAAAATTCTTGTGTTAGGTGAAAAGGTTGGGTACAAAATTGGTACTTAGAAACTCTCAATCATGTTAAAATTTTTTTCTTAATAAAATTCACAATTACTTCAAAATAAAACATTTATTAAATAAAAAGTCAATAAACCCAACTGTAACAGTGATTATCACTGGGTGGTACGATTGTTGACCTTTTTCATGTTCTTTATTTTCCAATAACTTTTTTTTTATGGGTAGGAGTTATTTTTTTTTTTTAAATATTTTTATTTATTTCTAGGAGAGAGAGTGAGAGAGAGAGACAGCGTGAACAGGGGAGGGTCAGAGAGAGAGGAAGATACAGACTCTGAAACAGGCTCCAGGCTCTGAGCTGGCAGTCAGCACAGAGCCCGACGCAGGGCTCGAACCCACGAACCACAAGATCATGACCTGAGCGAAAGTCGGACGCTTAACCGACTAAGCCACCCAGGCGCCCCTAGGTAGGAGTTATTTTTATAAACTGGAAAATAAGGTGGCCCAGTTGAACTAAAACAGGTAAGTTAATATTTTAAAGAACTCATAAGATCTGACATAAAACATAAAGACAGAGCTACTAAGTCTCCAAAATATAAATGTTCAACTTCTTCATTTTCCAACAAACCAGTCTCTTTATACAACAAACCATCAGAATGGGAAGAGTTTAAAATTTTTTACATTAAACATATGAAGATTATCTGTGGACAGAGAAAAATAAAATTTGATCATAATTTTATTAATCAGTTAACTTTAAAAATTAGTAAGAATGTTTAAACCTACCTTTGTAACTTTATTGTGAACACCTCTTGAATGCAGTATTTTTTATATCATTCTTAATGGTTGCAAAGAAATCCACTATAAAGATGAATTACTTTACTTTTCCCCAAACTCCATTTTTGGATAATCAGGGTTTATTAAATCCAATGTGAATAACTAGATTGTTTCCAGGTGGTTTTGTTTTTGCTATTATAAGCAATACTGGATGAATATACTCACTGTAAAATCTTTATGAACATTCATGATTACTTCCTTGGAATATATTCTTTTAAGTGGAATTTATAAGCCAAAGAATATGTGTGTTTTAAAGTTCTTATTACCTGTTGCCAGATTACTTTCCAATTTACGCTCCTACCAGCAGGGTATCAATTACCCTTTATTCCATGCCTTTGCCTACATCTGGGACATTCTTACCAACATCTTTTCTCTGGTAGCCAGTTTTTTTTTTTTTTTTTTTTTTTAAATGTTTTTTATTTATTTCTAGGAGAGAGAGACAGCGTGAGCAGGGGAGGGTCAGAGAGAGAGGGAGTCAGATTGAAACAGGCTCCAGGCTCTGAGCTGGCAGTCAGCACAGAGCCCGACGCGGGGCTCGAACCCACGAACCGCGAGATCATGACCTAAGCGAAAGTCGGACGCTTAACCGACTAAGCCACCCAGGCGCCCCTTTGGTAGCCAGTTTTATAGATGGAAAGTTGTGTCATTATTTTAATTTGTGTATTTATGATCATTAGTAAGGTTTACCCTTTTCCCCAAAATTGTTGGCTAATATATATTTTTATTATTTACCTACTTTCTTTGTTTTAAAAGTAGTATTTTTTTTTCTAATAATAATCTCTATAAAAAAATTTAACCTACATTCTATTTCTTTTCTTTCTTCTAAGAAAATCACTGGTACAGGTTGGTATACATCTTTCTGGACTTTTAAAACATAAGTGTACTTACGGGGCACCTGGGTGGCTCAGTCGGTTAAGCATCTGACTTCGGCTCAGGTCATGATCTCACGGTTCATGGGTTCGAGCCCCGCGTCGGGCTCTGTGCTGACAGCTGGCTCAGAGCCCGGAGCCTGTTTCAGATTCTGTGTCTCCCTCTCTCTGACCCTCCCCTGTTCATGCTGTCTCTCTCTCTCTCTCAGAAATAAATAAAACATAAAAAAATTTTTTTTTAAATATAAGTGTACTGGGGCACCTGGGTGGCTCCATAGGTTAAGTGTCCGACTCTTGATTTTAGCTCAGATCATGATCTCGTGGTTCTGAGACTGAGCCCTGCATCAGGCTCTGTGTTGGGGGTGGAGCCTGTTTTAGATTCTCTCTCTCCCCCTCTCCCTCTCCCATTGCCCCCCTACTTTCTTTCACTCTAAATAAATAAATATGTACGTATGCATATATAATTAAATGTCACTTAATCCTAGGTAGCTTTTACCTTTTTGTTGCTATTGGAAATACAGTTATATTTTTGAACTTTGTCTTTGAAGGAAAACAATTTTTAATTTCTTTAAGAAAAAAACTGTATTCTCTTGGTTTTTAAAAAGTTTTATCATCTACAAATAATGATAACTGTCTTTTCTTACAGGTAGATATGCTTCTAATTTCTTTTTCAGGGTTAACAGCTACAACTTCTAGAACAATGTTAGGGAAAAGTGACAAATAGGACAACACAAGAATGCCCTCTACTGTCAAATGTGGTGTTGGCTATTGCACAGATTTTTAACAATCCTGTCAAGAAAACATTGTTCTTAGTTTAGCAAGAGTATTTTTAAAAATCAATAGTTGATGTTGAAAGGATCTAGCTTTTAAAACACATTAATAGGGGTGCCTGGGTGGCTCAGTCGGTTGAGCCTCTGACTATTGATTTGGCTCAGGTCATGATCTCAGTTTGTGAGATCAAGCTCTGTGTCGGGTTCTGGGCTGACAGCTTGGAGCCTGCTAGGGATTCTTTCTCTCCCTCTCTCTGCCCCTCCTCTGCTCATGCACAAATTTTCTCTGCCAAATTAAGTAAGTAAATTTAAAAAAAGAGAACATTAATGGTTTAAAAAAAATTACAGCAGGATATATACTCACGACGATAGATGCTCATCAGGAACTGTAAAACAGAAATGGAAAGAACGTTAATCATGTTAAACCAGTGACCCCCATAGACACAAAAACCTTTAAGAGACTATAACTAAGAAGGTTTTTGTGTAAGATGGTGAATTGAGTCTATGCATCTGACTTTACTTCTTCCAAATACCCCAATATACAATAACACAAGGATTTTTTTTTTTTTTAAAGCATAAACTCCCAAGGATGAAAGGACAGGGAGAGACAACTGCTAAGATACACTGGGAAATAATTCACAAGAACCTGAGGAAACTAAATCCTAGGCTAGCAATGGAGAAAGCCAAGCAATAACCTATCCTCTTCCCCCTAAAGCCCTTAGAAATCAGTAGCACTAGGTAGCTTTAAAGGTAGGAATGAAGGAGGGGAGCTAAAATAATAAAGACTCTTTTAACATAAGTTTAGGGGCTCCTGGGTGGCTCAGTTGGTTAAGTGTCTGACTCTTGATTTCGGCTCAGGTCATGATTTCACAGTTTAGAAGTTCAAGCCTGTATCAGGCTCTGAGCAGACGGCACAGAGCCTGCTTAGATTCTCTCTCTCACCCACTCTCTTGCTCTATCTCAAAATAAACTTAAAAAAAAAATTAAGTTTAAGAAGCTAGTGGAATAATGCTTTCATATGTCTGAAGAAATATTATTTCCAAGATAAAATTCAATACCTAGCCAAACTATCATTTAAGTGTGAGATTAGAAAAAACTTTTCAGGGGTGCCTAGGTGATTCAGTTGGTTAAGGGTCGGACTTTGGCTCAGGTCATAATCTCACGGTTCATTGAGTTCAAGCCCAAGTTGGGCTCTGTGCTGACAGCTTAGAGCCTGGAGCCTGCTTAGGATTCTGTGACTTCTCTCTGCCCAGGGCATGCGCACGCTCTCTCAAAAATAAGTCTTAAAAAAATAAAAAACATTTCAGACATATAAAGGTTCAAAACGTATACCTCATGTACTCTTCTTCTGGAAGCTACTAGAGTATGTGCTCTATAAAATATGATAGCAAACCCAGAAAAAGAAAATTGTAGATACACTACATATACTGCTCACCATAGTAAGAAAATTCCTAGGATAATAACGGTGAAGGAAGATCTTAGGAGATATCCAGGAGATCAGTCAGCTCATATTAGGTCAACTCTAGGCTCTAGGAGAGATTTCTACAGGAAATGAAATTGATAGGACATCTCACTCATCTGAATATCTTGAGCAGGCAGATATTTAGAACACTGGTAAAGACTCTGAGGTTGAATTAGGGATAAATACATGGAAAACTAAAGAAACAAACACAACAACAGCCTTCATTCCGAGGAAAACAAAAAGTTACACAGGAAAGGACAAATAATCACAGCTTCCTACTGGCCCAAATGTGATACATATCACATCATCACACACGTGTAAACTCAAATCTTGATCCAAAAAAAAAAAAAATGATCATTGAAGGATAGGGGTCAGGAAGAGTGTGTTACTATCTAGAACAAATATTTTGAAATAGCAGAAAAGGGTTCTGCTGGAAATAAACATGAATCGATGGCAGTGGCTCCTGCAAGAGTGTCACAGTGGATGGATTAACCCATTTGGACAGAGTCCACTTTTGGCAACCACTGTTTGGGCTAACAGACTGACTTTTCTCCCCATTCTTTTGGGGGATTCGAACATGTTTGAATACCTGTCTGGCCTAATCTTTTAAGGGTATATACTCTGCTTGTGTTAGCATGGCTTACTTTTTCTCAATCCTTTGAAAGCAATAACTCAAGACAAACTCAGGGTGGGGGGGAGGGGTGAGAGAGAGAGAATATCTCCAGCAGGCTTCACACGGTCAACGCAGAGCTTGACTCCTGGCTTGATCTCACAAAACCAAGAAATCATGACCCTAGCCAAAATCATAACCGACTGAGCCACACAGGGCACCCCCAAAGTGCAGTCCTTTTAAGACAAAAGCCATCCAAGAGAATAAGCAGTGGCAGTTTTGAGTCCTGAACTGGTATTAAGTGGCTCTTTTTACACTGATTAAGTAATTCTACTTTGTCAATGCATTTTCATTAGAATTATCATCTTAATACTAGTTTGCCGAGGAGAACACATCTTGAGAGCACCTCGGTGATTTGGTAAGCATAGTCACAGAGCATCCTCTGCTGGCCAGAGAAATAAAAGGTACTTTCACAAAATCCCGATTTACTCCAATCACTGCGTATGCATTTGAGTCTTATGGCTCTAGAATATTTGGTGCACGCAGTGTTCAAGAGGATTAATTTTATGGTTAATTTAAGCTTTTAGGGGCGGGGTGACTACAGGCAAGTTTAGGAATTCAGAACTCCACCTTTCCCAACGTCGCTGCACACTCCCGGGCCTTCCGCCCTCCCCGCCCGATGCCCCTTCTCGAGCGTTTCAGGGCAGCGCTCAGCACTTCTGTCCCTACTAACCCGCTGGCCTGCAGGCAGCCACTGCGCTGCTCCCTAAACAAACTGGGCTCTTCTCCTTCCTTTCTCTTCTGTTTATTTTTTGCGAATTGGGTCTTGGGAATGGAACCTGACGGGATAAAGCACCGAGGCGCCGGGCAGCGGAGCGCGGGGACGGGGCCCCAACCCGGCGGCCCGCAGGCTCCGGAGAACTCCGCCTCTCGCCTCCCCGCCCGGCCGCGCCAGGTCCACCGCCCACAACGCGGCTACGCACGCCCTCCGGCCCGTACTTCGCGCATTCTCCTGCACCGCCGCGGCCATCTCGCTCAGGAGCTCCTCCACGACAGCGGGCAGCGTGAGTCCCGCCGAGGCGACGGCCATGGCGTCATACACCGTGGCTTCCTGACAGAGCCCGTTAGGCGCGACGCTCCCACAGACCCAGGGACGATTCCCGCCGACGGCAGGGGGCGGGGCCGGGCGCAGTGACGTCGGCGTGCGTCACGCGCACGCGGGCGGCCACGACGACGCCTCCTCCTGCCTCACGGCCCGACCAATCCGGCGGGCGCTGGGCCCTGGGGGCGGGACGTCCTGGGTCCGGCCTGGCCTGCAGTGCGCCGAGGACGCCGCGCGAGCATGTACAGGCTCCTGAGCCCGAGCTTGGGCCGAGGCCTCCTGCGGGCCGCGGGGCGGCGGTGCCGGGACTGCTCGGCGCGCCTGCTCCTGGGGCCCGCAGGAGGCCGGGCGCCTGAGGTGGGGGTGCCGGCATCCCGAGTCGCGCCGCGCGGCCGGGGCCCGGGCCTGCTGCCGCTGCTGGCAGGTGAGGGGCGCGGGCCGGGCGGGGCCGGCCGGGCGGGGACCGGGGCGCAGGCCGGGCCCGGTGACCTCAGAGCCCCTTCCCGCAGCGCTCGCCTGGTTCTCGAGGCCCGCTGCGGCAGAGGAGGAGGAGGAGGAGCGGCAGGGAGCGGGCGGGGCCGCCGCCGAGGGCGCGGCGGACGAGACCGAGGCCGAGATCATCCAGCTGCTGAAGCGAGCCAAGGTGAGGCGGCCTTTGTGAGCGAGGCCCGTCGTTGGCCTTGTGGGTGTGAGGTGCGCGCTCCAGTCCCCGCAGACTGGATGGAGGCTCCGAGGGTAGAATTGCCCAGAATTCGATGGGTCATGGGTGGGGGTAGGGGGTGGGGGGGGGGCGGGGTTGGCATCCGTCCAGGCTTGTCAGATTCCAAAGCCTGCAGTCAGACCGCTGCAGTCTCCGGTGCAGATGGTGAGGGCACCAGAGGCATCGCTCTTTTTATCCAAGCAAAATTAGCCGAAGTGTTTTTGTAGTTTTTTTCTTTTTTTCTTTTTTTTAAATCAGGGAGCCAGCCAGCCCGAAAGGACTGGCATAGAGAATTTGGCACGTACGTAGCGTCCAGAAAATGCACTTCAGTGTTCGGTGTGCACGGTGTGGTTCCGATCTTTCTAATGCCTTCCGTGTCTCCACATTCTTTCCTGTTTTCTCCCCAGGTTAGCTCCTCTCTACCGTGGGGCTCCCCACCGCCTCGATGCTCAGAGAGGTCCGAATTTACATTCCTGTACTGCAGTGTGCTACCGACACCCGTCTCCACTTTGAAGCCTCCCCTGCCCCTCAGACTTGACTTGCCCAGAGCTAGACTCCTGAATTCTTAATGGCGTCCCCTGCGCCATCCTTCACCATCTTCTCTTTCTTTGCTACCATCTACCCCGTTTTTCTGCCCGGAAACCTTCTAGTCATTCTTAAAACTCACGGGACCTTACCACTGCCTCTCGGTACACTTACAGCCCAGCCACAAATCCTGTTGCCCCCAAATATAAAGTATTCCTGAAATCTGTCCCTTTTCTCTGTCTCCTCTGGCACTATGCTGGCCACATTGCCACGGTCTGCCATCTAGTCGTCTTGCCCGCCCTGTCCACCCCCCCCACCTCCGCCCCAACCTACTCTCCATGCAGCAAGACCCTGAACCTATGCCGCTCTGCCTTGCCCACCAATTTGGCAGTAATCCTCTGGCTCATTGTTTTCCCTTCACATCCGTTTCCTTTAGTTTCTTGGATGGGTTTTGAAGACCATTCTCTTCAGCCTGTAATGCCTTTGTTCATCCCCTGCTTTGTGGGTCATTTCCCCCCATAACTTTTCCCTGTAATTCCTGGTTGACTCTTTGCTTCCTGCCGCAGTTGAACTGTCATTTCCTTGGAAGGCTTCTCTGACTCCCATTTAGAGGGGAGACCCTTTACTGTTCCTTCCCTTTACTTTTCTTCATAGCTTTTATCATTAGTTGTCGTTAAGCTTATTCGTTCCACAAGAGAAAAAGATGTAGGGCAAGCAGCTTCCTTATAAGCTATGATGGCGTTCCTTATAAAAGTGCTCACATTCCAAATATTTGTTGTATGGCCACACATAGCTGCAAGGGAAGCTGACCACCCTGTCACCATCGTAGACATAAATTCTGGTGCGTAGTTGGAGTTCGAAAAATATTTGGCAAATTGAATGACTAGCTTTCTCCTGTGTATGGGGATGGATAGCCATATCCACTTCTGTCTGGTAGCACATACATCTGCTTTCTTTACCTTTCATTTTCTGTTATTTTCTTTGTTTTTTTCTTTTCAGTTGAGCATCATGAAAGATGAGCCAGAAGAGGCTGAGCTAATTTTACATGACGCTCTTCGTCTTGCCTATCAGAGCGATAACAGGAAGGCCATCACTTACACTTATGATTTGGTAACTCTTCTAACCAATCTCAGCCATTGACGATGGAGGGTGGGTGCAAGAGCAGGATTGTTAGCTCTCCTGATTTACACTCCTGCCCTTCAGGATGTTGTAAAGCTCTTTGGTTTTTGTTTTTACTGAGTTTTCTTTTGGTTTCAAATGTTATTACCCTTGGGGTGTCACTTATACAAAGTCTAAATCCCAGACCGAAAACTAAAATACCAGTATTTGTTTCTTCAGTGATGAGTGGATCTAGATTTAGCTTATCATCAACAAAGATTGTGCAGCTATTTACACTCACGGCATTGCTGTACTTTAATGTTAGCAGATTAGTGACAGACCTTTCTCTTTGAACTGTTTTTTAATTTAGAAGGTGAAGGCAAAAGGGAGTCATTAACTTAAAAGTTTTGAAATAAGTAGAATACAGTGCTTTAAACTGAAAACTCATTTGTAATTTGCTTTCAGATGGCCAACTTAGCATTTATACGGGGTCAACTTGAAAATGTAAGTAAGTAAATCACTTTGTAATATTTTGCATTTGTGAAGGACTAGCTTCAAGGGGCCTCTGTTAGTAAGGGTGCAGGCAAAGCTGCTGTAACGGAGAGACCCCAGAATGGAGTGACTCAAAACCACAAGGTGTATGTCTTTTTAAAACATTATTCTACAGGTAGCTACACTAAAGAAGGGTAGGTACCTCTGCTCTATGAAGTGGTCCGGAAGCCTGCGTTATTATTATATTTTTTTAAGTTTATTTATTTTGAGAGAGAGAGAGAGAGCTCACTCGCTCTAGCAGGGGAGGGACAGAGAGAATCCCAAGCAGGCTCTGCACCGTCAGTGCCTGAGCTGGCTGCGGGGCCTGAACTCATGAACAGTGCGATCCCGAGCCAAAATTAAGAGGCAGATGTTCAACTGACTGAGCCACCCAGGTGTCCCTGGGTTCCTTCTAAGATGTGTTCTCATCTGCATAGGTGAGCTGGCTCACCTCCAGCTGCCGGGAAGGAAGAAGAGGGAAGCGGCAGGCGGCTTCCTTATAAAATAGGATTTAGAAACTGTTCCCATTCCTTCTACCTGCATCTCTTGGCCCAAACTTCCATCATGTGACTGCACCTAGGGGGAAAGGAGGCTGATCTATTAAAAGGGAGAAGATTCCGTAACTGAAAAGATGGGGGCGGTAAATAATTAGCGGACAGGTTGCAGTCTCTGCCACAGTAGGGTTTGAATGAAAAGTTAATTTCTGTAGTTGGTTTCTGCTCATCACAGAGTACTTTTTAAGGTGCCCACAGGATGTGGGGTCTTGGTATTCTTGTCTGTTTTCCCATCACAAGGATATTTTTCTGTGTGTGTGTTGTGTTTTATAAGAGATGATGCATCAGACTAGTACTTAGTTATATAGATAGTGGGGCCCAAGTAAAAGAAAAACTTTTCCTTGTGCTTTTAGGCAGAGAAGCTTTTTAAAGCAACCATGAGTTACCTGCTTGGAGGGGGCATGCAACAGGTAAGAACATTGCCTAGGTTTGGGCCCCAGCTGAAGCAGTTTTCAAAATAGTTTTGCTTCCTGGAAACTCCACCCAGCCCCCAACATGTGCTTTGGTGGGAAAAAAAAAAAAAAAAAGGTGGATTATTCCCCCCCCCCCGCCCCTCCCCAGACCTTTATAGAAACTACCAGGCTTTCACTCATGCAAAAACATAGTTGCTGAGGAATTCAGTTGTTTAATTCCTCCTAAAGGATAAAAGCTATGGCTTTGAGGCCAAAGTCAGTCTAGATGTTTATCAGAGATAATAATCCATAAGGAAATTTAGGTTGTTGTGAATTTTCTTCATTTTTTCTTTCTCCCAACAGGAAGACAATGCGATAATTGAAATCTCTCTAAAGCTGGCCAGTATCTATGCTGCTCAAAATAGGTAAGTATAGTCAGAATATAGGTGTGGTAGCCACCAGAGAGTTGGGCTGTGGGCAGTTAACTTTAACCCCAGGATGTTATATAATTTTCATTTACCTTCCATTCACAGGTCTCAGAAACACTGGGTGTCACAATCAAAGGGTTCCCTCCCTCATTGTTGAAATCTTTAGTCTTTTCCAAGTTTTGCCCTGCCGTTTCCAGTAGACTTTTGAGGGGGGCCTACAGCCCTCACACCTCTGGCTGCGCTGTGACAAAGCTAATCAAGCGTTCTGTTCCTGCCTGAATCGGGAAGGGAAGTCACCGTTAGAACTTTAGTTTAGCTCTTCCTAGAAGAGGGAGCGGTGTAAAAGCTGTTGGGAACAATATACTTTGAAGCAACCATTTTTGGATAGAAGTATCAACAAACCAGGAAATTAGACATATAGTTGAATGATGAGGGGGTTGACACGGGAGTGTCTCAGTGGCTAGTCTAGAAGGCAGTGTTTTTAAAACGTGTAAAGGTGATCAGGTAGGCCGGTTTTAAGAAGGAGAAAGCTCTAGGAGTGGAGAAGTGACCTCTGGATAAGTAGGATAGGAAATCGGTGCTAATTGAGAAGTACTAGGTGAGTCTCAATTCTTATAAAGAAGAATCTTCATGCTTCACCGGAAAGGCTTTGGGAATAACATGGATGTGTGCCAGAGGTCCGAGTGGGGCCTGGTGCCTTTCATCCTGTCTAGGCGGAGTTCAGAGGAGAAACACATAGGATGTAAGCAGAGAACTCCTCTAGAGAGTTAAGAGTACATTGGAGGGAAGCTCTAAGATGAGCTTTTCCTTGGGTTTTTGGCTGCTATAGTAGTTGGGTACCAGAAGTTTGGAATGACCTCACACCTAATGCTGTAACAAGAATGCTCATTGTGGCCAGGGGCCCTGGCACTGGGCCTGCTGCCCTAGTCACCGGCTCCTTCACTCTCAGCAGAACCTGGCTCTTCTCCTTGCACTTAGTTGGATACTAGACAGGCCAGAGCTTCTGAGGGCCTTTGACTGCAAGTCTTTGGAGGAGCTTTGAGGTTGGCCTGTGCTGGGGAGTGTTACAGCTGGGATCAGTCTCTTTCGGAGGAGTAAACAGACAGGCCTGGATGTCGATGGGGTATGAACTTCTAGGATAAAAGAAGTCTGAAGCTAATCCCAGTGGAGAGAAAGACGAATTCCTGGTCTCATACAGGGACAAGCGTATGTAGTAGCCCCTGACAATTAGCCTGTGATTCCTCTGTACCCTTCTCAAAAGTATTTTTTCTTTTAGTCTTATTAAGAGAAGCATGAGGCCAGAAGATACATAACTAGAGTTGGGGCTTAGGAACCCTGATATTAGTAGGGGAATTGTTAATACACATTTTGCTCTGACTGGAAGCATCTAGTGAGCAGCCTTCCGCCTGCCCCATGTCCTGGCTGGATAGGGTCCCTCCTGCTAAGGTTCGGGTCTGGAGAAGCTTCTGTTCTGAGAACAGAGTACAACGGTGGGGTGATCTGTTCTCCCTTGGCAAAGCACTAGAGGAAAAGGGGCGAGCTTTGTAGTGCCGCTTCTGCTGAGAAACTAGAGCCATAGCGGAAGGGCAAGAACCAGGGGTGAGCTTCTGGAAGGAGCAGGGATTCTGTTGTGTTTGTACATCTCTTTGTAGAAACCACAGTTGACAGCTGGTTCTTTACAGTCAGCCTGCCTAACGTTTGGGTGGCCTCTCCAATTGATTGAGGGTCCAGGATTAGAGTCAGGCTCAATGCCTTCTAGCACCATAGCTAGGAATTCCATTTACGCAAAAGAAGCTTTCATTGAAGACCTACAGATTGGAAAACTAATAAAGCTAATAAACCTCTCCAGAAATTGCATAAGATCAGTAGTTAGAACCCTTGCTGCAGGCAGCCTTAGTCTCTGTTCGTAATAATACTGCTTGTAGCTGATGTCAGGCTTTCCCAAATGGAGAAACAGACTCACCTGAAGCCATTAGTGGGAGACGGTGCTTCCCATCTTACACTTCCCTTACTAACAGTACTCAAACCAAGGCTAGGAAAATGCGATAGAAGAGGAGTTTGTGAAAAGGTGAACAGCCGATTGCTGATCTTTGCTTTACAGACAGGAATTTGCTCTTGCTGGCTATGAATTCTGCATTTCAACCCTAGAGGAAAAAATTGAAAGAGAAAAGGAATTAGCAGAAGACATTTTGTCAGGTAGGGAGACCTGACTGTTTTCTGGACATTGCCTTTTTGCCATAGAGCTTCACTGTTCTACTGGGATAAAAGGGAAAGGTGTCTGAATCTGGGGGGAGGGCAAGTTATCCACTTGGGGAATTAAGTGGCGATTTTTAAAATCTCAGCAGAGGGTTTGGGATAAGATGTTTTGTTTAAATAACTTGACCACTGTTTGTTTGTTTGTTTGTGTAACCCTTTGGTGGTTAACTTAATTGACTTTTATTATATACAACCTCTGGAAAATTGGAAAGCAGAAAGGAGAGGTCTTTCTCTTTTCTCTTGGTTCAGCTACCAGTCACAAGGCTAATTAATTACATTTGGGTACCAGATATTTACCAAGTCATAAAAGATGAAGAGAAACTCAGGTTTTTGCAGTTCATCCTCATTACAGAGGGAAGAGAGTAAAGAACAGTTTTAGGAACAAAATGGCATGGTCAGGAAGCTCTAGCTCTCGACCATTTGGGTTTCTTAATATGGTTTGAAATATTGGGAATTACCAGATTTGATACTGATTCCATAATTCTTATTTCACACATACGCTGTGCTAAAAGCTACAAGATGCTATAGAGAAAGAGCAGTCAACTCTTGTCCCTAAAGCAGTAAATAGGACTTAAAAGAGTTATTTTTACTCCATTGTCTTCCAATTGTCTCTCAAACATAAACCCTGTTTTTCTCTTCCACCACTGCACCTAAGCCATCTCTATCCAGGTCACCAGTTCTCAAACCTTATCCTACCTACTCTGCTTATTAGCAGCTCTGACCCAGGTGGTCGCTATCTCCTACGGGACGCGCTTTATTCACTTGGCGTCTGGGACACCTTACCCATCACTTACTTTCCCCTTCGCCACCTCTAAAGTTAGCAGACCTTAGGGCTCACACCCTAGGAGATAACATACAGCCCCATATCTTTAAATATCGGTTGTACATCTTCATCCCCAACTTACACATGAACTACAGATGTGAACTGGGTAAGATTGTCTACCTGACATCTTGACCTGAATGTCTAATGGTCATTTCACACTTAACATGTTGGAAATGGGTCTCTTGATTTCTGCCGCTCACAAAGTTGCTTCTCTGCCAATCAGCCCAGTGAGAAAGGGCGCCACCATTCATTCACGTGCTTAGCCAAGAACCTAAGAATCACCTGTGATTCCTTCCTCATTCCTGATTGTAAAAGTTCATCAAGTTATATTGGATCAACCATCAAAATATATCTATATCAGACCATGTCTCATTCTCTTGCCATCCTACTTTGGTGCAGGATAGTATTGCTTCTTGCTTGAACACCTGTAATAGTTCGCTCAAGAGTTTTCCTGCTTCCTTGCATTCCTTTACACAATCTGTTATCCATACAGCAGGCAGACTGCTCTTTTAAACCTCAGTGCCTTTGCATCACCTATAGAATAAATTTCAGAATCCCTGTATGGACCTGTAAGGCCCTATATGATTTGACCCATACCTACTTCTATATCATCTACTGCCGCTCTCCCCGTTGCTCACTCCACTTCGACCACATTGGTCGTGCTGTTCTGTACAAGCTCATTGCCATCTCAAGGCCTTTTCACTTACTCCCTCCACCTAGCCTGTTCTCCCATATCTTTGCGTTGCCAGCTGTCTTCAGTCAGCTGCTCAGGTATCACTTCCTCAGAAGGCCTACCCTAACTAAAACAATCATCTCTTCCCACCTGTCCTTTGCTTTACTTCCTCACACTTGAAAGTAGGGGTGTGTGTGGGTGTGTGTGTGTGTGTGTGTGTGTGTTGTGTGCTCAGGTTTCTACGGCCACTAAAAGTATATTTTTGTTCCAGGTGTTTGTAGTATTTGTCTTCCCTAGCAAAGAAGGGTAGAGATTTCAGCTTATTTGTTCACTGCTAAATCCTTGGGCCTAGAGCAGTGCCTGGCACGTAATAGAGGCTCAGCACTTGTTGAATGTAGGCGCAGAAGACTAGACAGGCCCCAAGTAAAGTTTCAGTGTGGTGTGGAGGCTTTGAGGGAATTCACAGAATATATAAATACGAGTCTGGCTATCAAATAATTCAGTTTTGAACTGTCCACACTCTTGCAGTCTTTCATTTAGAGAATTGACTGTAGACAGTTCCTTAGACGTTTCTAACTCCCAAAAGTAATACCAATGCATTTAAGATGATTTAGGAAATCATTAGGAAGAAGATAACAAAGATCATCCATAATACTACAAAGAAAGAACTACTTTTTACTTTTTGGTGTATATCTTTCCAGGCTTGCTTTGCCTGTGCTGTCTACATCTTAAGAGATAAGGATCGGGGCGCCTGGGTGGCTTAGTCGGTTAAGCGTCCGACTTTCGCTTAGGTCATGATCTCGCGGTTCGTGGGTTCGAGCCCCGCATTGGGCTCTGTGCTGACAGCTCAGAGCCTGGAGCCTGTTTCAGCCTGTGACTCCCTCTCTCTCTGACCCTCCCCTGCTCAAGCTGTCTCTCTCTCTCTCTCTCTCCTAGAAATAAATAAAACATTAAAAAAAAAAGAGAGAGAGATAGGGATCATATTGTATATGCTTTTTTTTTTTTAATTTAGTGGTATATTGTGAAAATACTTATTTACAGGCATAGGAATTCTCATTGGAGAGAGCAAACTAATTTCTATTATAAACGGTATTTTTACATTTTACTAGTTACGTGCAATAAAGAAAATGTTACATTATTCTTAATCTTATTTTTCCTAAAGAAATACATTATTACTCATTTAAGAAAATAGAAAGAGGTGGGGAGGGGCACAGAGAGGAGGAGGCAGAGAATCCCATGCAGGCTCCCCAATGCCAGCACAGAGCCCGATGTGGGGCTGAACTCACAAACCGTGAGATCATGACCTGAGCTGAAATCAAGAGTTGGAAGCTTAACCGACTGAGCCACCCAGACCCCCTATTTTCACTCAGTTTTAAACAAGTACATCCACTGTCAAATTTATATGCTTTTTATTTACCTGACCAACTCTGTCCCAAAAGTGTATTACTTAAGCTCATGTATAAATTTGGTCTAGGGAACTGATTTTGTTTCTCATTATAAATACATAATGTTATTACAGTACAAAATTAAGTGAAAACAGATTTCTAAGCAGTATTAGGAGTCCAATGTAGATATAGATGTAGGTATAGAGCAGGACTGAATTATACCAAAATACAGACAGTGATTACCTCTGGTTGGTAGATTTATAGGGCACTTATGTTTTATGTGTGTTTTTCTGGATATTCTCTGATTTTTTTGAACATTAAAAAAATTATTTTCTTATGTATGTAGTATAAAAAGTCAAAGGATGTTCTGAGACTTAATTTAAAAACAGCATTTCCTTGCCACATGTCTTAGAGTAATTTTCAACTCTTAACCAATTTCATCTGGTATTTTCCTTTATATTTCTAAATAACGTATAAAACTATTTTTGCAATTATTTTTAGAATCTGTTAACTTACAGAAAAGGAAACATTTAGTGTAATTTTTGCTCCTGTCTATATTATTACAAATGTGTAAATAGTGTTAGCTGTTGAGCCAAGCATTTTCTTTTTCTTTTTTTTTTTAATTTTTTTTTTTAATGTTTTATTTATTTCTGAGAGAGAGACAGCGTGAGCGGGGGAGGGTCAGAGAGAGAGTGGGAGACACAGAATCCGAAGCAGGCCCCAGGCTCTGAGATAGCTGTCAGCACGGGGCTCGAACCCACGAACCATGAGATCATGACCTGAGCCGAAGTCGCCGCTTAATCACTGAGGCACCCAGATGCCCCTCAAAGGAGTACATTTTAAACTCGTTGACGAATATTGCAAAATTGTCCTTGAAAGGACTGTATTCATTTACATTTTCAGGTTCTGCTTATTTATTTGCTTCGTGACTTTGATCAAATTAATTAAGCCCTGTGTGCTTTTGATCCTCATAATGGGGGTAAGAGCAATACTCTCTCGTAGGACCATTAGGAAGATTGAATGAGTTAATATCCATAAAGTGCTTAGAACAATGTACTTAGCAGCTACTCGAGTGTTAGCGATTGTTTTTATTATCATGATCAGGCAGTGTGTTCCTTCTCCGCAAAGTCCCTGATTTTTATAACCTTTGCCAGATTGGTGATATGGTAGTGATGTTTGCTAAGCAATGGGATTGATCATTTATTGGTGCTGTTTTCTAAGAATATTGACTCTTTCCTATCAGGTTTTTTCTTTTCCCTTACTTGTGTCTATAGATTTCAGACCTTTGGATTTTTTTGTTTGTTTTAATTTTTTTTAAATGTGTGTGGGGCACCTGGGTGGCTCAGTCAGTTACACATCCGACCCTTGATTTCGGCTGAGGTCATGATCTCGCAGTTTGTGAGTTCAAGCCCCACACTGGGCTTTCTGCTGGTAGTGTGGAGCCTGCTTGGGATATTCTCTCTGCCCCTCCTCTGCTCACACTCTCCCTCTCTCTCAAATAAATAAACATAAAAATTTTTTTTAAAAAAAGAAATGTGAAACTAAAATTTGTATAGTTTAAGGGATAATGAGTATAACAGGTAGTGACCCAACACTAAGAGTACCTTTGCAACCTGTGTGTGTTTGGCCCCAGCCCCGTTCTTCTCACCCCCGAGATGCTGTTCTGGTGAATCGTGTTTTGTTTTTGCGGGTTTCTTTTTAAAATTTATATAAATGAATCACACAGTACGACTTGCACTTGTCTTTAATTTTTTTGGAATTAGATCTGAATTCATTTATGTGTATGTTCTGTGCTTTTATTAATTTAAGTTAATTTTTTAAATGTTTATTTATTTTGAGAGAGAGAGAGATCCAGGATCCCAAGCAAGCTCCATGCTGTCTGCACAGACCCTGATGGGGGGCTCGAACTCAAACCATGAGATCATGACCTGAGTTGAAATCAGGAGTCAGATGCATAACTGACTGAGCCACCTAGGTGCCCCTGCTTTTATTAATTTTAAATACATAATTTTAAATACATAGAACATAGCTGTTCTATGCCAGGGATTCTAGGATTTGA